AAGCACTCGGGTAAAATAAGCATTCGGGTAAAATAAGCATTCGGGTAAAATAAGCACTCGGGTAAAATAAGCATTCGGGTAAAATAAGCATTCGGGTAAAATAAGCACTCGGGTAAATTTAAATCTAGATTCAATATAATATATTAAAAATCGCATGTATATTAATCTCGGTCAGTTTTTAACAAATTAAAAATGATTTATAGGAAACAATTCAATAAGTAATGACAATGAGTTAATTTAAAACTCAACATTAGATAAAATGTAATAAGATTTTACATTTGACTAAACTAAATCTTGTATAGGATTTCACTGTCAGACCAAATAGTAGTGAAATAAATTTCACCAAATTTTTTTACACTTTATTTAAGTGTCTATTATTTAAATTAACTTCATTTCAGAAACAATCACTTGATTTAAATGGAAAAGTGAATCATTTTTTTGTTATATGAGATTAAAAAAAATTAAGCAAAACAAAGTAAAGCGATCATGGTAAAAATGCAAATAACTTTTAGATAAAGTTAGAACTTTGCAAAACAATTTTATGCGGTATTAGTAAACAAATAGTTTGTCACAAACTCTTCAATTTGTAATTTAAACTAAAATTCCTAAACAATTTCACAAATATTTAAATATTTTGCAAAATATCTTAAAAGAAATCTTTTAAAAACTTTTTATAAGAAATGCGGGGATAATAGCAGTGGTGGTGAAGAGGAGTGCTATGGGGGGCAACATCTGGCATATGGTTAGGGCTAACACCGGCACCACCTGTCAGTCCCCTCTCTGTAGCAGATGTGGTCTGAAAGGTGTCGACACTTTCACTGCATTTAAATCCCAAACAAAACAAAGCATTGAATGAATGGTTGGGACGCGAGAGGACATCACCTCCCGGTCCACACCAGCCATGCATTCACTGCACTTATAGTGAGGGGTAAGACATCTGTCGGACCTCTCGGGCCTCACTTTCCGCCAAATTTAAAGCACAAACTTTTGGCACTAAAAATATGTCAACTTTTCATACATTTTACACAATATTTCATCACTTTTTCACTCATTTTTCGCTTATTTTTATGAAAAACTGAAACAAAAGTTTTGATTTAAACCAAACTTTAATTCAAATCTCAATTCATTTCAATTGAATTCACATTTCAGTAAAACTTTCACTGAATTTACAGCGAAAGTAGAAATTCAGTCAAACAATACTCACATCTCATTGGCTTAACAGTCAATGCATTCATTTTCCACACCATTTAATCATACCTTATATTAACTCAACATTCAATTAATTAACTTACTAGAACTTAATATTGCATTAAAAGATAATTAAAACTATTATTTAATTTACAAAAAAAAATCTTAATCATAACAAATTACTCTAAAAATATAATTAAATCAAATTAACGGCACTTAACTGTATGTAACGGTATAAACAAATTGTTGTTGTGAAGTACAATTTATCACAAATCCTTGTAGATAAATATTATTCATCAACGTTATATTCATCCACAAAACTTTACAATAGTATACAAAACAAAGCGCATATAAAATTGGACGTAATTTATGAACAGACATATAAAATGACATTTTGGCCCATATTTGCCATCTATTGGACTACTGTTTGGCCGCAAACTTAACACGAGTTTATACTTTGATTAAAAATTAAATAAAACTTTTAAATTTATAGTTAATTTAGGTTTTGAAGTGGAATATACGTGATTGAAGTGATAATTAAAAATTAACATAATAATTAAATTACTTTTAAAAAACACAAATATAAATATAAATGAATAAAAAACATTGAAATGATTGAAAAAAGTTATATTCAATATTCAATGCAAACGCTATGCAAATGAAATAAACTTATTAGAAATGTGTGCAAAAAACATCTCATACATTGAACTGACCACTCATTTAGTGCATTCATTCATGCATTTCACTCAAGCATTTCATTCATACAATGCATTGAATGACGAGTCAGAGTTCAATGATTTTATAGTAACCAAAGCTTATGGTAAAAACATTTCACAACTCATTAGCATTTCGTTCATTCATTCATAAAGTCGTTAAAATTTTTTAATTCATTCATAACTTTCAATAACTTTCTCAAACATGTCTTTGCGTAAAGATTTGGTGGATGTGTTGATAGCAGTGCCGTCGACACCGGAAACGGGTTGCAAGACTACGGTCACCGAACAGATCCCGGTGCCCACCAGCGAACACGTGGCACAAATTGTCGGTAAGTGTTTGATTCACAAAAAAAACTCTTCAGCCATTAAAATATTTGCCAAACTTTTTCCTATAATTAAACAAATCATTGAAAAAACTAATGACAAAACTTTTAAAAACTTTTTTACCTTAAATCTAATGCATATTTCAAACAATTTCTTAAGGAAAGTGCGGCTCAAAGATTAAGTTCTTGCGGTCGCAGACCAACACCTGTATTAAGACACCGTTTAGGGGCGAAGAGCCGGTGTTTGTGGTGTCGGGCGAGCCGTCGGACGTGCGCCGAGCGGTGGACGCCATACAGAAGGCGTCGCAACACTTCACGCGACTCATTGAAAGCCGATCCAAGAGCTGTGCGATCGGAGAGTTCACTATCGAAGTGGAAGTCCCGCACCCATACGTGGGCGCAGTTGTCGGCCGTAACGGCGCCGTCATTACCCGTATTAAACAGCTGACCAACACTCGCATCAATACACCCAAAGGCGGTGACCTCCACCCCAAGTTTGAGGTGACCGGCACTCGAGTAAGTGTTGGCTGTTTTGCCTACCGTTTCTCTTATGTCATACAACTATACCATTGTTTCAATAATTTAAAATGTAATTAAAATTGTTTGTCTATTGTTTTATAGGTCAATGTGATGGCGGCCCGGGAGGCCATTCACCAGAAGGTGGTGGACGCCTACTGTATGCGCAACAAGTGATCCACTCATCGATACTTACCTCCAGAAACTCATTCACAAAATTACTGTATTTTTCATTATTATTTTATTATTTATTGTATATTTTAGCAAATTATAAACACAAATGATTTTTCGTTAAATTTTTTAAGAAATAGTAAATTTAGATCAAAATATATGCAAATTTATGTTAGTTTTTAATTTTTTAATTATGTTTTAACTGTTGATTATAATTATGACTGAAAAACTGTTGATTTTACATAACTTTACCACATTTTATCAATGATTAACACATACTTTAGTTGTCATTACTTTGGACAACACTTTTGTGCCAAACATCTTATTCATATCATTCTTACCATATTCTGCTTAAATACTCTTATTATGCATAAAAAACATGTATTTCTAAATTTCAAATGAATTTATAAATAAAAATCAATTCAAAAATGTATAATAAGATTGAATTCATTTATTTATTCAATGATTTCAGTGATTGACAAAAAAAGTAATGAAAAAGAGAGGTATTTATAGTCAAACAAAAAAAATAGTTAAAAATAAAACTTAAGGTAAAATCAGTCGCGATTATAAGCGGGTAACTTAATGCCCACCGAACCCATGCGGTTGGGGTCTTGCGAGGGGTAGTGAATGGCTTGATTGAGCGCTGGGGCGCCTATAATAGGCGGCGCCAACTGCGGTATATTAATAGCGGCCGGAGGCGCACCGGCAGCCGCTGACGGACCCCCGCCGCCGCTCGAGTGGCCTAAACCGAAATAGTCGGGCGCACCGATGGGCAGACCGGGTACGGGTGCCAACTGTGCGGCCTTCTTAGCGCCGCCGACACTGTCTTCGCCGTCAGCGCCGGCGCCCCTCTTGGCCTGCGATTTGCCCCAACGAATGGTCAACTTCTGGCCGTGAATCACGAGCTTCTGGTAGGACTTATCGACGGCGAGTTCGGCGGCGGCGCGACTCGTGTACTGAACGAACGCGCAGTTCTGACGAGGAATACAAGTGACGCCACGAATCTCTCCGAACTGATAGAAGTAGTCGCGCAGATCCTTCTCCTCGACCATTGGGCCGACATTCCCGACGTATATCGTTGTGATCGACTTGTCCTCCGGCGCCGACGGGCGCGGTATCTCTGACGCCCGCTTCAGCAGCTTCTCGGCCACCGGATCGTTGACACCGAAGTACCGGTCTTTGATGTTCTGGTCGCTCAGCGGGTCCTCCGGATCGTTGGGCTTCTCGTGACGATACGGACACTCATCGCCTCTCTTGCACTCGCCTGCGAAGAATGGGATCAAACAAAACAGTCAATTAGCGTGTATTCAAAGGGCGCAGACATATAACGGGTGCCAACCTTTGACCCAAAAGCTGCAGATGTGGGGTCTGTTGCGCTTATAATAGGGTGAATTGCGGGCGAGTTTGGCCAACACGTCGGACGGCGGCGCCGACTTCAGCGCACCGAACGCTTCGGTGGCGTCGCTGTTGGCGACAGCGATGTCCAGATTCTGGCTGAAGAACTCGCGATTCACGTCCGACTTGGGAATGTCGAGCTTCGTGTTCAGCAACTGATCCCTCACCTGAACGGGAAGGCCGTACTGGAGGTCGAGTAGACACGTTTGGCAGATGTTCTTCGCGCGGGCGCACGTCTGACAGATCTCGGTCTTCTTGTACCGCATTTTGAGTCCCGGACACCACCGGAATGTAGTGAACGGACGGTTACACACTTTGCATTGGGCGCCAAACTTCTCGGTCATTATCCGCATATACGGGTTGTCACCTATGGATCAGATACAAGCGTTAGTGGTAGTCATTAGTGGCCACACGTGTGGCCATCGGGTGGCCATCGAGTGGTTGGGAAGCGCTGGTGGTATACATACCAAGACATGTCTGGCATAGTATTGGGAACTGTCCATCTTCCCACACCTGCCGGTTGTAATGCCCGGT